ATATATATATATATATATATATAATTGTAAAAGTGCGGAACGTTTTCTATTAGGGCAGAGGTTTTCAAACTTTTTTTGTCAGGCGAACCCCTTTGACCAAATAATTTACTTAAAGTACCCCCAGAGATTTTAAGTATATATTTCAATAATTTAATAGCAAATTTGCATGTTTACTTCAAAATATTTATTATTTATCCTTTTTAAAGTTTTAATCAGTAGTATTTATTGTTATAACACATTTGAACATATACAATTTCATATTAGTACAATTCAAATAACATATAATGTAAAATAACTTCATTACACATTCCTTTTTTTCACACTGGACTATAATTTAGAAAGCTTTTAATACAAGATTTCTCAAATGGGGGTTTTCTTATTATACAGTGGGTACGGAAAGTATTCAGACCCCCTTAAATTTTTCACTCTTTGTTAGTTTTCACTTTTACATTACATTTTAATAAACCTGTAACATTTCTTTACTTTGAAAAAAAAACAATTGTATGGGCCTTCTTGCATTTGGCAATGCGCTGTGATACCACATAAGAAGCCTTCAGGGCATTCTCGGCCACAGTGGCTGTTTTAATTATCAGCTTCTGCTGTTGTTTTAAACTGTCCAGCTTTGCCTGGAAAAATTCAGCTGGTTTTGTCACAAGTTTGCTTGTTTTGTTTCCAAATGTCTTCTCAAAAAAGCTGGTTTCATACATTCATTTGCCAGTTTCTCCATACATATAACGCACATGGGAGAGGGCTTGCCATTAGCACCATCTATGGATGTAAATCTGAATTTGATGTAGTTCTCATTGTACTTACAGTGCTTTTCTTGCTTTGGTACTTTTTTGTGCTGGCTTGTGCTTGGACCCTCTGGGAATTTTCTTTTATTTGTGCATGAAACGAACCTGTCCATTTTGCGTGACTTCGCGGTTTTCTGATATCGTGTCCATTGTCATGACGTCGGTCACATGACACAAATTAAACAAATAATATATATTTTTGTTAGTAAGTTTTATTTAGATTTTTTATTTTAATATTACGTAGCCTATTATTTGTTTGATCTTTTTTTAAATAATTATATTTTAATTATCTGCTTGTCATCAACTCGCGAACCCCAGTTTGGGAAACCCTGTATTAGGGTGTGGGTTAGTGTAAGAGTATTCATACTGTAACTATATTAAAATAATAGAAGCTAATCTGCAACTGTGCTAAATATGCATATCATAATGTGGTTTTTTGTAAAAGCATAATTTTGCACATTTTTGGCTTCTGAAAATGATATTCACAAGTTTTCTTTTAATTTTATCGTTATTTATTTATTTGGTAACACTTTACTTTATGGAGCAATTCTCACTATTAGCTACTTGCTTATTTTCATGTGTTTTACGATAATATTGGCTGTTTATTAGCACTTACAACGCACATATTAATGTGTTATCTGCATGACCATATTTTAGATCCCTTAATCCTACCCCATACCTAAACTTTACAACTACATTACTAACTATTAATAAGCAGCATTAGGAGTTTTAGAAATTAGGAGTTTGAGGCAAAAGTTGTAGTTTTGGCTTTTGGATTGATTGTTTTTTAGCCTTCAAAATATAATTTCTGCAGAGCCCTTTAGCACTGTATGTTGTTTCATTTCATTCAGCTCCCTCCAAAGTACACGTCAAAAAAAGAATCAGCTTACAGGCGAGTGCTAATATGAAAAGTAATATGTATCAAATTTCACTCCACCTTTACTTCAGACCTAAAATATTTTTAGTATCTGGCAAAAATCTTGGTTATGAAACTAAAATGTCAGTGTCATTAAATTGGTTTGGATTGTCAGTAAACCAGATTGCTGTGGCTGAAATTGAATGTGGACTCTTTCTTGAGGGCAAATTCACAGTTGGTAATAACAAAAGCACACAGGCTCAAGAGAATACACGTTCTGAGTGTTTGGTTATAACACCATGAGAGTTGAATGTGTGCTGGAAGCATGATTCTGGGAAGGAGAGCAAGGTCATATTGGCAGATCTGAAGCTGCATTCCCCAGAGTTTAGCTGCTCTCTCTTCCTATTTCTCCTTCTGTATTCTTCTCAATAGAACTTTTTGCCATACCTAACAATAGTGAGTAAATGAAGAAGAAAATACCCCCCAAAATTATTTTATTAAAAATATTTTTTGTCCCTATGATGATATTTAGCTGCTTTATTTTTACATGTTTGCGACATGCCATTACATATGAAATGGCATAGACATATTCAATAAGTAATTTAAGTCGCTAGAAGCCCTTTGACTAATATATTCATACTCTGTCCCTCTGTGTGCTTGTTTTATTTGAGTTCTTTGTCTTGCTGCCTCTGATTGTCAGACTTAAATCTGTTCAATTCAGATGGAATACATTAATCATGAGATGAGAGGCAAGCGAATGTGTGCTCAATTGTGTCTTTCTTTGTCTTTCATGTGTTCCGCTCTCAGATACACCCTCTGCTCCTACAGAAGAAGAGGACTGACACCTGCAAATCCAGACTGCTGCGTCGCACCATCAGTGTTCCTGTGGAGACGCAGTTCCCGGAATTACAATGTCATCTCTCAGTGGACAACGGTGAGTGTACTACTGTTACTCAACATGTTTACAACACGGACAGGGGCCGTGGTCTCTCATGGTCATAGAAAACCTAGAAATATACGGAAATGTAAAGCTTTTAATCGTACTTTTGCAGTTATGCTTGACTCTTAAAGTATTTTATCCGCTAGAATTAACTTTTGTGCATGAAAAAAAGAGTTTATGAAGTCTTAGTCAAAATGTGTTTCCTCCCCCCAAAATATCCTATAATATAAAACCATCATTATTTTATTTTATTTTTAATTATGAGGTATCGGTCAAACTTTTGGTCACTTTTTTGTCACAAACTACCTTTGATACGTATTTGCAGATGAACACATTTGTTATTGTGATTAATGAAGAGAGCAAATATAGGAGTTGTACTAGTCTCAGACCATGCTAGTGACTCATTTTTGTGACTTAAATTTTTGCTACCTTGTACAGTTACTTGAGCCATGTCATTTCCATTGATGCCAGCAGGGGAGGATGTTGGCTGCAAAATTATTTTCTTCTGGCAAAGGATGTTTCTTACAGTTTGGACTAGCTTTTATACTCATTGTGTTTTTATTTTGATCACATTTTTACCTATTATCTATAATGTGTGCATACAGTACTTTATTTGGCTGATGTTGATTTGTGCTATTTGACTGGCCTACCAATGCATGTATATTTTTCCATGAACATGCTACTGCAAAATGGACCCTGTCAAATGGATGATTTTTTAGAGAAATCCCTTTAAAGGTGTGCTGAGTGGTTGTTTATGTGAGACTAATGCTTTTAGCGTGTCTTGACAACACCTATATTTACCTGGATTTAAAATACAGAACAAATTTCAAGGAAATTGATTTAAAATCAGATGTTTTCAGTAGTGATCAGATTTGTTTTCAGTTGTGAATGTAGACAAGCCTGATCAAGGATCATTGGTGATTTAAAGTAATATTCTGGGTTAAATACTATATAAACATTTCTGGCATGCTCTTGGATAATTGAAAGTCAATGGGTGTGATTCTACCAAAAATTTTGTTTTTGTTGTATTTAACCCAGAATTGTACAGTGTGATAATGTGTCTTGTGAGCTGACTCTGACTCTTTGTGACTGACTATTTAGAAATGCTCATAACGGTGCCTTATACAGTATGTAGGCTATACAGTTATAAAGTATGTTATTATGTGTGTGTGCAGGATTGACTATACTTCTGAGGTCCAAAATGTCCTCACTATTCAAAAATGTCCTCACTAATATAGTGAAACCTAGTGCTGGGCGGTTTGACCAAATATCTGTATCATGTTTTTTTTTGTTTTTTTAAGGATTGTGGCAGTTTCACTGCTTATCACGGTTTTTCCCTGACTGGGCCATTATATGACTCAGAATGCATGAAAATGTTGCAGAACCACCGCATTTTAATCACTATCCAAACAAAGATGCAGCATGAGCAGTTTAAAGCAAAAGCTGAATGGTCTGACTTCAGGTTTGTTAAACTATACTACATAAAACATCTGCATGAATCAAAAACAGCAGACATGAATGAGAACACAAATTCACTCTCTGACAGCAGGTTTTCTGAAGACTCCCAGTTCAGTATTTAGGATTTTCATTCAATATTTTGCGGAAGAGAAAACACAGACAGACAGCACTGGAAGCAGCAAATGCTCATCAGATCGCATAAAACAGTGGAAAATGAATAGAAATTATGATTCTGTCTGAAGAAGTATGCGCACTTTTGGACTATAAGCTCTAATGGACGCTGTTCAGTGCAGCTATGTGACACACAAATAAACCGCAGCAGACTTTACTGAATATGAATGCGTGTTGTTATTATATAAAAAATATCATACATTAACGATTGATTATTTTGCATTCCTGACATAAAGTCGAGTTGTATCATAACAGTGGTCAAATATCGAAGCTGGAGTATTTAATCTTTCTAATGATACTCAGTTTGTCCAGATGAAGTAAGAGTGTGATATTTTAGCGTGCTGTGAATGTGAAACAACAATGATCTGAAGCCACCGGTGATCTTTGCATAACTCTCAATTCAAGATGCTGTCTACGTTGCATAGGCACTTAAAAATTACTGTTACGTAATTCAAACTGGTGTACCGTTTGAACTGGTTTATCGCCCAGCTGGCACTATTGAAACCTGTATCATATTGAAGTCAGACCTATAGTTGAAAAGGCATGTACATTGGCTAAATCATGTTTCTATTTAGTGTTTTGTCAGGTGAGAGAAAATATAAATTACCTGATGTAAAAACAATGGAAGTTTATTTGTTGTCCTTACTAATATAGTGAACCAAACGTGTGTGTATGTATGTTTATGTAAGTTTTCAGATTGCTGTATAACAGTGTATAGCTGTGCTGGATATATTAAGACTTACAACAACAACACAGTTTAGCTAGTGCCTGTTATTAGGCAACACTATACTGATTTGTGACCCTGGACCACAAAACCAGTCATAAGGGTACATTTTTTGAAATTGAGATTTATACATCATATGAAAGCTGAATAAATAAGCTTTCCATTGATGTATGGTTTGTTAGGATAGGACAATATTTGGCCGAGATACAACTATTTGAAAATCTGGAATCTGAGGGTGCAAAAAAATTAATAAATAAAAATAAAGTTGTCCAAATGAAGTTCTTAGCAATGCATATTACTATTAAAAAATTAGGTTGAGATATATATACGGTAGGACATTTACAAAATATCTTCATGGAACATGATCTTTACTTAATATCCTAATGATTTTTGGCATAAAAGAAAAATCGATAATTTTGACCCATACAATGTTTTTTTTGGCTATTGCTACAAATATACCCCAGCGACTTAAGACTGGTTTTGTGGTCCAGGGTCATATTTCATCACATGAAAAATAAATGGAAATTTAAACCCTGATAACCAGGCTTTTAAAGGCTCACAAACACAGAGTATAGGATTGGAGGGTATATCGGTACTAGCAAAATACCGGTATATATTATATTTCAAATTATACAATATCATGCATGATTTTGCTCATTGCGGTGCTTGATACGCTGCTGTTCCGAGGTTCACTGCTATGCTGCAGTGTTACTGATGTGAAACCTGCAAATGTGACAACAGAGGAGCAAGCCGCAATTGTGCTGCTGATGATATAAAATAAGACAATATATAATGTTACTGCTCTTGTGTGTATTTGTGTAAACACTCTGTGATGAGTGTCAAAGGTTTCTATTTACAGTGTGTTTTTGCAGAGTTGAGCGTTGTAGCCAATCATGGACGTCTCTATTGAGTGTGTGATGACCAGTCAGATGTGTTTAAGTTGGTCTGAATTCACGCCACACTGCTGAAAGCGCAGAAGTTTGTTTAGTATCGCTTCTGTTTTAAGGAGTACAGAGCGCTGAGAAGTGTGTATTGTAAACAAGCAACACATTTGTTACTGTGGAGTTTTATGCAGATCTCTGTTTTTAATTCAGTTATATTTTGAGGCTGTTTATTTGTATCAATTTAGTATCGATACTGAGGTATGAGATTCTGGTACAGTACCGAAGCCAAAACTGTGGTATCGAGCCATCCCTAACATATAGCTACCCATAAAGCAAATGCAGATTCTACTACAGATCCTACCACAGTCCTCAAGGGTCTGGCTCAGTTCTGCTTTTAATTATTGTGCTGTATTTTTGTTCTGCTTGACAGAGACATTTAGATTTGCTGAGAGTCTTTTTTTAACTTAGTAAACATTTTTGCTTCCTCAAACTCAAAGACCTACACATAAATATTGTCCTGTTTGTTTTATTTATAATTTTTTTTTTTACCAACCAGAATACATTATAGGGTATTGGGACCATACAGGATATTATATGAATATATTGTATAGTTTTAAATATTGTTGTAAGTCTAAATATATTGTTATAAATCTGAATATACAGTGAATTATTAACAATAGTTATATAATTGATTATAAATTCAGTATATTGAGTTACATTGTATTTTCAGGGCGTTTAACTCTATATTCAGATTTGTTTTTTTATATTTTATATCCAGTATATTACAGTATGCTCAAACTCATAACACGCATATTAAAATGTATTGTCATTATCAAATGTATTATTATGTATGATCAGATTTATAACTGTAATTTCAGATTTACTTTGAAAGTGTTTCTTGTTTGTCCCCACCCTGTACTGAATAACTGGTAGAAGATAAAAGCGAAACTGAAGTAAATCTTCTAGTTTACTCTTTTGCTCCTTCTGTTTGATGTTTTGAACCAGAGGGGGAGAGCAGGAACAACCCCACTAGCTTGATTCATAAACATCAGAACTTTTTTTCTGGGGTGTTGAAGAGTGTAAATCATGCACTGTACCTCAATACTGCAAATTAAAAGCTCAAATAATCAAATCAATACGGTACTCATCAGAGAGCCTTTATAAAATATCTCTCAAATTCTTAATAATAGTATTGTTCACTTATTTTTCTGTATATTCTGTTCTCTGTTGGCTAACCCAGCTTCTGCACAGCACTGTAGAGCTGAATGCTGACGTCAAAATGCCTTCAAATCACCATTAGTGCATGTAGCTTGTTAACCTCATAGACAAACATCAAAGAGAGACCGAAATTGTAAAGCTGTTGTCCTATTACTTATTCATGTTTATCAATGGTGTGTAGCAAAATAAAGATATATTAATGGCTCGTTGAAATGCTTAGACTGATGGTATGCTAGTAGCTCGTTAATGCTCATACACACTAATGTGGTAGTATGCAGTTTGATACTTAGTATATATGTCATGGGGAATTTCAGAATGAGATCATAGTGAATGTGAACGCGTGCTTTATTGTGGTCACCAGTGTTTACTTGACTCATATTCATTAGTGGCATAAGGTGTTCATAAATATTGGGCGTTTTATTTGTCCTTCTGTAAAGAGACTACAGACTGTGAATAAAATCTGCAGGCTTGTGAAAAGTCTTGTCGCTGATACTGTGTCTTTAAGAAGCATGTGAGAAGTAGGAGCAAAAGAGAGACAG